TCATATATTTGAGATTTCTTAAAATCATTTGATACCTCAAAAATTTTAATTTCTACTGATTGATCTCCATATGAAATTTTTGTAATACTTGTAGGAAAATTAATATTCATCTTTGTTGTATGTAAAAATGATCTCCTTAGGATGATTGGTGTTTCATAAAACTGTCCATTAAAATCCATTTCTAGCACTACAAAATCAGTTGGAGATTTACACCCTTTAATTGTCACTATCATATTTTTTAAAATACCTTTAGGGTGTTTTATGGATCTATTAGCAAATTATAAGGTAACAGTAGAAGGTTTAAGATCAGAAATATTAAATTTATCATAAATATTTGTAAATAATAAATTAATACTAGCACTAGTGTCAAGTAATGTCTTTTGAAAAATAGATCTATTAATATCACACGAAATCAAAGGGGCACTCATATCTCTCAATTTATATGGTAATAAATTTAATAATAAAGCACTAGCATGCATAGATATTTCTTCAACTCTAAGTGCCTTTTTTGATGTACACATTTCTTTCAAAACACTAGCATATTCAAGAATATGTTCAATGATAGTGAGTAAAGAAAGACTAATTTACACATCTTATAAAATTTTCTTTATTTCTTCATTGTGTTTCTTTTTCTTTCTTTGTCTAGGCTCTAGAGCTTTAGGAAATAGAATGGTTGTCCTCTCTATCAAAATTTCCTTCGTAGAATTTATAAAATTCTCTTCTACTCCTATTTGATTTTGTTTTAGGTTGTCCACATTTTCTTTTTCTTCTAATGATTGGGGATAAGGATCAAGTAAGATCTTACCACTCCTTAATGCATTTATTGTCCTAATATTTTTATTTCATGAGTTTTTTCCTAGATTTATACTACTAGACTCCCCTTGTTGAAATCTTATTGTTTGGCAGTTCTTGATTTTCTATGGGCTGACTAGGTAGTTGTCCCTCTTCTCTCTTATTTCAAAGAGCCTCTATAATTTATTTCTAGTACAACATCATTTGATTCATAATTTTTTGCATCATTTGGCTCATTTGCTGCATCATTTCCATAGTATCAAGTTAGGTTTGAGAGGGTTGATTTTTCTGAAATCTATTTTCTTATTTTGGACGAAATTCAAAGTTTGAATTAGGTCTAAGTGCTTTTGAATTTTGAATATTATTTGGGTCTCTCCATGAAAAATTATTTCTCCAATTAGGATTATAAGAATTTGAAAAAGGTTCCCTATTTCTATTAAAACCATGAGCTATTTGTACTTGTTCTTGCATAGGATGAAATGATTGATTTAAATTATAGCATTAAAATTCAGAATAATCATTTTCACTATACACAAGACATGTATTATCTAAATTAAACTAAGGGTTAAGAGGCTTTCTAATACTGTCAATAAGTAAATTAAGTTTTTTTAATCTTTAATTAATTTGATTAACCTCATTTCTAAATTTAGAATCATCATCATGATGTAATTCATAAATTATTCTCTTCTTATCCTTGTCATATAATTTAAAAGAGGCTTGATCTCTAGAATTTTCACTTAAATTCTCATAAAGGTTGTAAATCTGATCAGAAGTTTTTTCTATAAAAGCTCCTCCACATATAGAATCAACCATATTTCTATGTTATTCTAATAATTCATCATAAAAAATTCTATTGAGCTGTCACTTGGGTATAGCATGATGAGGACACTTTCTAAGTAAATCTTTGAATTTTTCTCATGTCTCATGTAAAGTTTCTCCTAGTCTTTGAGAAAAACTCTATATATTTTCTCATATTTTGAGTTTTTACTAAGGGATAAAATTTCAAAGAAAGACCTATTCTATATCTTTCCAATTAGTTAATTCTTTATCTAATGTGGATAGCTAATGGCTAGCTTTATCCCTAAATGTATGAGGAAATAATTTTAGGTGTAATTTGAGAGATATTAACTAAATCACATACCAAATGAATTTTTTTAAAATGTTGATGAGGTTACTCTAAAGGTAATCCATGAAAATTAGGGAGCAATTGAAAAATTCTTAGATTTATTTCAAATTTAACAATGGGTGCTAATAGGACTCTAATATTGGATGCTCTTTTAAATGAATCAAGGATATAATGATTTTTCATGGCCATAAGATTTTTCTAAATTTGACCCATACTTCCTTCAAGATCCATCAAAATTAATTTTTCTTTTGAATTTTTAATTTTGAATGAAATAATGAAAGGATTTTCTAGCCTTAGATGCAAGGATCTTTTACCACGCATAAAAAATCAATAAATTCAAAGGAAAAGTTTAGTAGTTGTTACCTTCCTTTAGTATGCTCTAGTTCTTGCCTTGTTTCTTTTTGTTCCCTTTTTCTAAAAAAAATTTTGCAAAAAGAAAATAAAACAAGAGTTAATTTTTTTTTGTGTACTCTAAGAGAAAAACAGAAAAATAATAAATATTATGTAATATATCCCTCGCAACAACACCAAAATTTGACATGACTTAGTCGTTGTATATTCAATCACATAAATTTAAAATTTACAAAGTTAGAAAATATGATTTTTTAGATATTTAGAAGTATTTATGAACAAATATATCAATTATAATTCAATAAAACTTTCAAAAATAGTGATAATTTTCTAGGTCGATCACAAAGATGTAATATAATATCTAGTAATTATTCAGAATTATTTGCAAAGAATACTATTTTCTATGAATTTTATACTAAGAAATGAGAAAGAAATATATTTAAAATTTACAAAAAAAGGAAATAAGGATGCAGACGACAAGATGATGTCAGCACCCAACGAACATGAATCGGGTGGAAATAGAGTTCCACCCGACGATTCTTACATAAGTGATTATAGATGATTTAATTGATCAAATTAAAATCTATAAAAGTTGGAAGAATCGTATTGAAATGACGTATATCTTAGTAAATTTAAAATCAATAGATTATCACTGAAATAAATAGAAATTAAGTTGAAAGTAGGAAAATAGAATTCCGACGTCATAGCAGCAATGTGTCAGTGATGCACTAGAATCTTGAGCATTCGAGAGGATCGTCTTGTAGTATCCATAGTCTCAAAGGCTTTCCTTGGACAAGGACGACATGAGCAATCTCTAGATCTCCTTGCAAAGTCTAGAGATTAATGAAATAGGACGTTAAATTATCTCTAGCGACTATCACCTAGTAAAACAGAAAAATGACGACTTTGCAGCTCTTCTGTGGTTGTCACTTGACAAAGAGGAGTTGGATGGAGGTGGGCACGTGTTAGGGAGCGTCATCCTCAAGTCCACGCAGCAAGAGGAGGCTCTTCATCACATCTAGTACGTTCTTAAGAGGTGGTGACTCATCTCCTGATAGATCATCTTCTTCTTAATAATGGCTTGTTTATCAATTAATAAGTCTTCATTATCATGAGTTAATAATTAGTAAATAATATAGTTTTAGCCTTAACTCATGATAAATAGACTTATAATTGTGTTAAAGTATGATTTGTGGTTTTCAGTTGATTAACATAAATTTTTGGGTAATTATGTGATTTTATATGATTTTCGCAGTCTTACTTTTGAGATAAATGAAGAATAAGAAATAAAAATATTACAAAATAGGGGGACCCGCTGGCCAGTCGAGCCTGCAAGTGAGTCGGAAGTGTAGTCAGAGAGTAGCCACGAGTAGGGGCTCGAGCAACTTGGCTTTGGACCGATAGGGGCAAGTGTGTGTCACTCCCCTTCCACGTCACTAGTAGCCAGCTGGTTGTGGGGTAAGGAGTGGTTGTACACGTGTGAGTGGAGACAGGTCCCACTCGCCATCATTTTACCTTTTGAAAGGAAAGTTTTGTGTGAACAAAAAAGTGTATATATATATTTTTCTAATTATACACAAATGAGAGGGGAGGCCAACCCATTCTTACATGCTTTATGAAGATGTGAGACCCACCTTCTATTTGTAAAGAAGAAGTCACCATCTATTTTCCCATTTTGCCCCTCTAGGTTTAATATTTCCTCACCCTTGATAGGATATTTAAATAATGTGGAACATGAAGCACATCATGTAACAATGTTTTGATAAACAATGGTTATTCTTTTGAAGAGATTGACTAAACACAAATAGGCTCAAGTGATTAATATCTTCACCCATTAACCTCATTCTATCAAGTTACTAAGGTGAGCAACACTAAGGCTCACATGATTCTCTCTTAAACCTCCTTTTGTGTTAAAGGACTCGTATACATGAGCTATGTCTCTATAACTATAGTATGTGTGCCTTACATGCTATATTGTGTCAACATTATGCCATGCCAAGTCCACAATTTCTACTTATGTATGATTTACCTATGTACTTTACACCTATCTTTCATGAACTCACTTTGAATTTGTGTTATTGTCTGCCCATGTTGCATGTGCTTGCATGTGAGCTTCTACTACTTGCATATAGAACATAATGCCATCATGCATCTCTACATCACACTCTTCTTTGTGTGATGTGCCATGCTTTGTTGCACTAATGTGTCACCCCATGCATGTCCACATAGAATACCTTGCATCCTCATTTAAACAAACATCTATGTTCCACCCTCTAAAACCTTCTTCCTTTGAGAGTTATCACACCTACTTTTTGAGCTTTATTCTAGACCCAAGTTTGATTTGGGCCAACCAAATTGTGAAATTAATGATATTACAAAAAATACGAATCCACAGAATTTTCTTCATACCTGAAAAAAAAGGTATCCTAAATGTGATCAATGTGTTTATTTTAAGAACATAGTTGGGGAGGAGTGTGGTTATCGGATACCGTAGTATCCTTATCATTGCCCGGTAACTACCTTCCAGGATCCGCTAAGGCATCGGTCAAAACCCAGTGTCCTGTCGGTAAGTCAAAACGGATGGTCCGGCGCGGTATTATTACACTTTTCCCCTCGTTTCGCGACATGCTTAAATGTTCACCCTCGCTGCCAGGACGTGCAGCAGGGAAGCTGAATCGCCAACCTTCGGAGCTCCACCAGGCCGCAGCAGCAGTAGGCGTGTGTTCCGGCGATGGACGGCGGCGAGGGTGCCCCTCAGAAGTGCGTCAGGTTGCTCTGCCGCAGGAGGATCGACGTCGCAGCCTCCAGTGGGGAACCCGCCCTGTATTGGCTGGTCGGATCATCTCTCTTTCTCCCTCCCTTCACGGTTGCTTCCATCGTCAAGTGCCTCTACTGGGAGCCGTCCATCGGACCAGAATCCGTCCATTACTCTAGGGAAGCAGGTGCGATTCCTTGATTTTGGATTTATTACTAATAATCTCTAATTTGAGAGAACTAGACATGGCTTTTATGTGATGGAGGTATTTTCGGGTAATAGTGATGATCTATTGTGTACATTTCTTGATGAATGTAATTCGATCTAGGCTTAACAACGTATTCTGAATCTTCACTCGCTGAGATTGAGGCACACAAAGTTCTATAATCTCCCTGAAAGATGGTGACTGTGAGGCATGATTTATTTTGAAAGTAGATATTTTGGATCAATCGTTTTGAATTAGGAATTTAGTTACGGGTCTCCAGCTTCAACTACTTATAGCAATGTCCAATGGTCATCGAGTGAATATCCTTCGCGGAAAAAATTATCTTCGTCTAATTGACTCGGAATTTCTTCCGGTTTTTGAAGATGAAGAACGATTTCCAATGGCTGTGTAAACCATGTCTCGTGTGATAATGCTGATACACTCATGCCTATTAGTGAGCTCATCGAAGCATGTTGACGAGATAAGTACTATTGTTAATCAATGATGGGACTGCTAGATATTGAAGGGTACTGAGTATCTTTTCCTTGGCGTTGTCCAATGTCTCTGGGAGATATTTTGACCCTTTCTTATGATCTTCATCCGCCATCTTAGTCAAGGATAAGTTCTTCCAACTAAAGATAGAGTGAACTTTCTCATACTACTTCTCCAACTCATTCAGTCAGTTCACTTTCTCTTATGTGTGGTGCCAAACTAGTCTCTACATAGCTTAAACAAGTACTAGTTCTATGAGCAACGCTCATGTTTGTTTGAATAGAACGGACATTTACTCAATTTGAGTTGTGCAAATGTAAAAAAACTCTTTATCATCTGTGACATATTCTCAACGTTCTGACTATTGAGCTATGATCATATATGAATCCAGGGAATGAACTGGTTGTTAAATATACAATTAATTTTTCCTTTCTTCATCAACTTCTATTACCTAGCCATTTGGCCTACTTCGTTTGCTGTCGTATGCACAGTATCACCCACCTGTTGTGCCATATTGTTCATCAGAATATGTAAAAGGTCTGCATGTATTCTAAGGCATCAACTTCACATAAACATTAAGCATGAACTTCATAGTTTGTATTATTCATTCGCCTCCCAATTAATAGATAATATTTGTTTGATACCTAATGTAAACTGGAGTGTTTCATTAGAATCTCAGTGATCTTCCTGTTCTCAAGACGTTGCTTTGGCAACAATGTTGCCTGGACATGTAAGGCATCCAAATCTCCTGGTAATGCAGCACCAACGCTTGCCATTCATGAATGCTCATTCGTATTTCTATGGACTCAAGCTCAAAGCCTTTTGCGAAGCCATGCCATCCTCACATATGTGAGCCCTTATTTACATTAGAATGAACGTGAATACAAAGCCTTCAATGCAAACGACCTTGCATCTGGCCATTCACTCAAGGCATTGCCACACATTTTCTGTATGCAAAAGCAATTCAATGAAGTGCTTTGCCACACGTGAAGCTGATCACATAAGGTGTTAAACTGAACACACATTTAAAATATATGATAATATTAGTATAAACTGTTTATTGCAGTTTCTTAGTTAATATTGGTGATTATAATATATTTTTTGAAAAAATAGACATTATCATGACAGTTGTTTTAAAGTATTCCTAATTTCATCACCTAGGCTAGGTGATATGCCATAGCCTGAGTTTCTTTGATCGCCTGAAAAACTTAGTCTACATTGATTAAATACTGGTATGAGAAAAAGCTAGGTAACAATTGACTATAAATTCAGATTGCGTAGTTTCATCATTCTGCTGTGAGATAAATCGATAGAGACAAGGTCAAAGGTTTCATCAGACTTGATAGTAATTTTTCAACGATCTGTTTAAACATGGAGTGAAGTAGGTAAAATATCACTGAATTAGAAAACATGGATTTTCTATCTGAATATTGAATTGTGACTTTCGCATCTCAAAACCATACATCGTACATGTTTCATGAATTTTTGTCTGTGGACTTATAAGCTTCTCTTTATTGAATTCATGATTTTGCTTTTACTTTTATGATAATGAACTGATGCCTCGTGCATGTTGAAATTAATCAGATGAAATCAGAACATTTCTTCCAAGAGGGCTTGATGTGATTGGAGCACTATTTGTTGGCAACCAGGAGAAGGAAGAAAATGCCAAAAAAGCAATTGAAGCCACTATTAGAGTGAGAGAGCTTCTCTTTACTGACAAAGAAATATGTGATATGGTTGGCGCAAGTTCAGATATGATTACCAAAGATGTCAGTTTTTTTGTTTCTGGAGGTGGAAAATCAGAAACTTTGGAATTTATTCCTAATATTATTTCTGAAGACTGTCCTGAAAGATTTTTGTGGGAGAAAGGCTGCCTTCTAAGGTGTGATCTAACATTGAAGCTGCCAATTTATGTTGCTATAGATAAAAGCTCAGGTAAAAATATTTCTTAAAAAAACTCTATGAAGATATCATTTTACCTGTTAATGTTCTTTCTCTCACATAAAATTATTTTCTTGATGATTTCTCATATATTTTGGATGAACTTGAAAAAGGTTGGGTTGATCTGTCATCCTGATCTAGTTTAAGTGTGATAAAGATCCAATGGAACCAAAAGTTCAGTGCTTCTAGAATAAGTGACCAGTAGCTCCCACGTTTTGTGCTTGGATGGGAAGTTGTCTGCACGAGAGTTCTTATTTTGGTTTGGAAAGAATTATGTCGGGGTAAAATTTTATATTTTACCTGTTTACTCTGAACTTAATAGATATTTTGTCATTTCACTAGTCTTGTAACTTTAAGTGGTGGGAATGTATGAGAGTTTCGATGTAGCTTGAGAGAATATCAAGGATTACTTTACAATTGCTGTCTTTAGGGTGGTTGGCTATGAATCCTACTTTCTTTGACACCCTCAAATGCTGTGGCTGTCTCTTGTGTAACCCAGGGTCTGTCACACCTTTATGGTGGCCGACTCATTTCTAATAGTAAGACATGAAAGTAGTCTCTAACCAATAAGAAAGATAAGGTACGATTCACAAGACCTGATTCCAAGTATATGTCAAAGTTCTTCAGAATGCCATGCAAAAGGTTTTTATGAACAGGGGAATTTTAATTTGCAGAAGAGCTTGGCCACTGATGTTCATTTGCTATATTATTGATTACAGAAGACAAAACACTGAGACCTGATTATCAGCTACATTGTAAATCACAAAAGAAGGATATGATGCAAGTTGTATGAAAATTTCTGAATTTTGAGGAAGGTTTTTTCTTTATCCTTCTTATCTAAGCAAACACATGGTTTCTTAACCAGTTCTTTTAATTTTACCTGCATGTATTGCACTTTTACAATTCACTTAATACCATACCACCATTATCAATGAAACGAGAAATTGTTCTCTTTTTCAGTACAAATGTGTTTAATGAAAATTCTCCCTCTACGAACTATGCAGTTTATTGATATCTCTTTGCCCTTATCTTGGTTTAAGCCTTTATGCTTGCTAATGCACCTAAATGTTTAGTTTACTGGTTTAATCTGTCTATAGGCATTAGTTTGTTTAGAAGATTAGCCTCAGTCGTGTTCCACATTGAGAAATTTATTTGATGAAATCTTTCTTTTATCATGTTTATGCTTTCCATAATTTCTAGAAATAATGTTGTGTTCAAATCTTTTCTCTGACAAGATGCTGTTGCTTCTCAGAGGCTGTGGAGATGTTTTCTTCAATAGTTGATGCTGCTGCTGCGAAATTGAGAGATCCCAAAACTTTGTATCTCCTTGAACTGAAAAGGATGCCACCTGAGGAAACAGTTCTGCCTGTTGTTCTGCATGGTACTGAATTAGGTCTGGACACGTGTGTGCTATCCCATAAACTTCCACAGTATGGGGCCACAGAATCCGACAAAAACATTGAAGCATGTTCATATTTCTTTTCAAAATCCAAGCGCACATCCTTCTCTTCTATTGAGGTTAGTATAGAGGATAGAATAATGTGTTATATGTTCGTGAATAAATTTTGTGAGTAGGTTATATGTTTTTATGGTCAATCTTTCAAGGGCAAGCGTTCATGTCGTCTCCTATAGTAAGCTACTAAACAGGCTTGAGTCACTTGGAATTTCTACTTCATCTAAAGTACATATTGGAAAAACAGATCATTGCCTAGAATATCCCGCAAGCCATGGTACTGTGAAAATCTCAGGGAATACCTGAAAATATTGATTGGTCTTGAAACGCATTTCCATAGCATTACCAACTACGTTCCTCTTAAATTTATCCTTTCAGTTGACTAGGATAGTTCAGACGCTAGATCTTAGTTTCAGTTGAAATTGTTCATCTATTCAGGCTTATGTACTTCTCCAAGAGTGATTAATCTTCATGTACTCAACTAACATTGTTGCTGATATTTGGAATATGGAACTATTATTTTCATATTTCTTTTCAAAAATTTCATGCCTTTCTGGTTGTCATCATTTCCTTTGACTTGTGTGACTTATTTTCCCTTCACATTCATCGTGATTGCTTTGTCTAAAAGAATCCTTGCTTAGAATGCAGACACTATCCAGGTAAGTCTATTCTCCAATCAGTCTGAAAATGCCCTGGTCTCTGGAGCGCCTCTAGCAGGATATTTTCCAGGTAGACAGATTTTAGTATTTTCCAATAATCTACAGTATATAAATTTTTCCAGTTGAAGGATACTGCTTCTCAGTACATTTCAATTTGTGGCTTCTAATGCATTTACTGTAATGTGGTATTTCAAATCTTTTGCAGCACCTGTATCAGCAAAATATTCTGTTGTTGATTTCAAATTGGATGTACTCTGCTATTCTTCAAGGGATTTTCCACTGGTTTCTGCTGTTTCCAAATTAATTATTCCTGGTTTAGTCGATCAGCTATTTAAATTAAAGGAGATTATTAGCCCGAAATTGTCAACAAAACATCCTCAGGTAATGTTAACTTTGCCTGTTTATTTTTCTACGTGACTTGTACACTTGGAGCCTTTGTTCTGTATCCCAATATGCAGATGCAAGGCTTCAGATTCGCTTTGTTTTCATACTGGAGATTTTTGTGGACATAGAAAGGCAGTATCATTTCTTCAGCCTAATATGAAACTCTTTAGTTACTGGAAAATGGGGAGAATTAGGGGCAACTGTTTGTTGTTGGAATTCTGGTCATCTTTGTTTCGTGTCTTCTTGTCATGCAGTCAAAATCACCATTGATCATATGAAGTATGGCATGATGTGTCGTTCCTCATACATTGCCACTATCTCCTCCCTCCCCCCTTCTCTCTCTCTCTCTCTCTCTCTCTCTCTCTCTCTCTCTCTCTCTCTCTACCTAGCTAGCTATCTCTTCTCCCTTCCATATATATGGGGATAAAACGGAAAGTAAAAATAAGAATCTTCATGTTTATTTTAATTGTCATCATCATTGTTTTTTCTGGAAGATTGCTGGTTTAGTTCATCTATTCGCTCAATTTTTAATATTTTCTTTCGGATCTTTGCAATTCTGTATGAGTTTCTAGGAGTTTCTAGGATGTGCATAAGAGGGAAAGAGTTGCTGTTCAATGTAATGCCTTTCGTATTTCCCTCTTTAGGCAGTATTTCGTGTTTAAGGCAGTCTAGCTTAACTAATCAAGGTTATAATCTACCCCAACCCCAATATGGACATAAGATTCTACTTGTACGTTTCAATTGACATCATTGTATATGTTAATATTTCTCTGATTCCTGGTGTTGTACCGTTCCAGTTTCTTCTATCTTGGATTCTTTATCTAGGATATGTGCAATTGTTTGGAAATTTCAGTCAGGAAATGCTTAAGAGGCAAAGGTTATGTGTTCGGGATAACTTCTTCCATTAAACCTTAGGCTGCCCCATTTTGATCTTCAATCCTTTCAAAGTGCAGTTGAATAATTGCCCAATAATAGGAGTTGGGCCGAAAACTAATGTTTGCTTTCCTACAGGCTCTTCTCTGGTCCTGGTGTTTATTGATTGAAACATGGAACCTTGTCGTATCTTAATCGTTTTGAAGATCTATATAGCCTTAAAAACCTTAACAAGAGCATATATAGTCAGCCCATATTGTTGGAACAAAGAATGAGGATGCCTACACAGTTCTTTAACTGTTAACACTGTTTCACGTTATCAAAGAAGCATGCTTTACTGATTCATTGCTATTTTTTTTCGGTTTATTCATTCTCTATTGATCAACTCCACAATACGTCTGTTAAATTCTCAGATACGAGTTTCTTTGTTTCCAGCTATATCCATATCATTTCCATCCTCCGGGGATTTTACATCCAATAACAGCCATCTATGACGTGACCTATGGGGAGATGGAGATGAAACAAGGTATGTAAACACTGATCATGCAGTTTATGCAAATTCAATGGGGAACTCTTGTTGACATATTCATAGTACCTTTATCTTGATTCTATCATATGCTATTATGCTTACGATTTTCCTTGATACAGTTGAAATCAGAAGAACTCTACACCTGAGACTAGGGTTACCTGTAGATCGTCCTCTCCTACTCATTGCAAACTCACTCAATTTTACTTGTACCACGAGTGGTAGAGATTCAATAAGAAATGGTAATGTTTCTAGCGAAATGGCCTCACTTGTTCAATATATTTAACTTATTTCTCACTTATTCTACTAATATAGGTTGTACACTACTGAAAGATGTACACACTAACATTCCGAGTAGTGGTGGTGAGTCCAACTTTCTTTCCATATCTGTTCACTAACGATTTATTTTCATGTAAACTTGTTTATATATTCCCTTTTGACGTGTTCTCTATGCAATTTCGTTGTTGCCTTGTGCAGTTTCTGGAGGACTAATGTCTTTAATTCAGGGTTCTTATGAGTATTATCATTATCTTCAGAACGGATTTGATGACAATGTATGGAGGTTCTTTTTTTCTTTTTGGTTTTTTGCGTGTCATTCTGAAAGTAATGCACTGTCTTTTGTTAGTAACATTTTATCTTCTAAATGTTGCTGCTTAATTGTCCCAAATCCACTTGCGCAAACAACCTATACTGATATTATCTGGTAATGTCTGTTTTTATCATACGAGACAATATACTAAATCCGATCTGCTCCTCCTAGTGTTGTTCACAGTTAAAAGATATTGCTACAATTTATCACATATCTTTTTTAGTAAATGAATAATTGTCCTCCATTATTGGTTGTTTGGTCTCTCCACAATGGGAAGTTGACGCTGTCTTATTTTCTCTTGATAAAATTCCCAGTTTTCCCCTTGGTATTTATCTTATTTTCTCTTGTAAATACTTATGATGGATATGGTATCTTAGTGGGTGGGTTGCAATTCAGAGGCTCTCACAAGAGAAATCCCCCACATGCCTGAACCAACTATTGCTGCAAAGCTGGACCATGTCCCTCTATTGCTGTTGTGACAACCTATGATTTGGCTTAGATGCGTCCAGTTCAGTTAATCATGGTTTCAAATAAGTTTCCAGAATTTTCTGTAGATGTTGGTGTCTAAGAAAGTCTTTCTAATTCATAGCATTCCATTTCAACGTTGTCTGCATGAACAACGTTAAGTTTATTTTTCTTTAGCCTATACTTGAAAGAAAAATAATAATTCGTGCATAACTTATGTCCCCAAGACCTGCTTTGGTTTTATTCGTGACTCTGCCATTGTTGTCTTTTTTGGCTCTTAAGACACGCTCTAACATATAGTATATCCTTGTTGGTAAAACTGCACGTATCCTTGGTGATATTGGATGATAGCATTCTGACATTTGGACCTGCATCAATGGTTGTGCATGATGATCACTTATCTAAAATATAATAAAATTCAAAGAAACACTTAATTGCATACCTGGAGTCCTCCCCTTAGATGAGCCTTCTAGTGGGCTGTATAGACCGTGCTGTATCTGTGAGGACAATAATTTAACTGTAGCGACTGTTTGTGTGGATGTTAGCTCCATTGATGAAGAACTTGAACACTGCCATGAAAAAAGTAAATCTAAATTAAAACATTAAATTTTCTAAGAACTCTCCGGTCGACTCCAAATGTGCTGGGAGTGATTCGGCAGGGCTGGATGTACGTTCTTCTCATATGCCTATTTTTCAGGGTTGGGGATGTGCATATCGCTCCCTCCAAACAATCATTTCATGGTTCAGGCTTCAGTACTATACATCCATTGAAGTTCCATCTCACAGGTACGTAGATTTCTTTCTCTTCAAATTACTGTGAATGATTTTCTTGACTAGGTGTCTGCTATCTCTATTTTATGAACTTGTTTCCTTATGTGCTTGTTCCAGCTTCGGCTTCCTATATTCTAGTAAAAATTTTGTAATGGGGTTGATCTTTTCTTTGGCATCCATCAAGCTGGCCCTTCCATACCATAAGGAATGTACTGACAAACTTGTGGTATCCCAAATATGGCTGTCCTTATTTTATAAATGTTAACTGATTTAGTTTGTGATGGAGATTTTACGTAAATCTCAGGGAAATTCAACAAGCTCTTGTGGAGATTGGTGATAAGGAACCCTCTTTTGTGGGATCACGTGAGTGGATTGGTGCAATCGAGTTGAGTTTTGTCTTGGACAAGCTTCTTGGTGTAAGTGTTGAAGCCCCCTGGACAATTTTTATTTTCTGTGGGAATTATTTGCTAGCCACTGGATTGAAATCACAGATCTCCATCATCTCTCTATGGAACTATGATGCGTTGGCATAAGTTAATACATGATTAATAGGTTTACATGTAAGACGCGACTTGATCATCATTTGTGATTTTATTGATTTGTTTATGGTGTGAAACACTACCTTGATTCACACGTTCTGATAGCCTAAATGTTCATAGTTTTTTTGAATTATATCTTGATCTGCTACTACCCAATCTCCATATTTTCGCAGCTATTTTTTGAATTATTACTGTTCTACGTATTACAAAGGGGATTTTTTCATATGCTGATGAGGAGGTATGAGTGCTGGTGATCGTCTCAGCATCTTCTTGTCTTAAAACATAACCTTTGCGCACAACGCCTGATAAATCATTTCTTGTTTGATATTTAGCTGTTTTATGCCTTCCCTCTAGATGCATCCCCTTGTTCTCATAACATTAATTGATAACTTCGGTACCTAAGTATCCATAAAGATACCTACATTAGTATACATATCTTTGTTCAAGCAACATTTATCTATTTCTTTTATCCTTGCATTGGTTATTTGTGCTGTATCTTAGACTGTGCTCTCTGTCGGGAACAGGTGAGCTGCAAGATCATGAATGTGAGATCAGGAGTCGAGCTCCCAGAGAAGTGCAGAGAGCTAGCATTGCACTTCGAGACACAGGGGACCCCTGTTATGATCGGTTAGTGTACATCTCAGACCTTGGACTGAAGTATGGAGTTAGACCCTTTCCATTGGTTCCGTCATAAGCTCTTCAACTCCATTAGAGCTCTGCTCTTTCTCTGTCATGAACAGGGGGTGGAGTTCTGGCCTACACTCTCCTGGGAGTTGACTACAACGACGTGACTGGGGATTGCGCCTTCCTCATCTTAGATCCTCACTACACGGGCACTGATGAGATCAAAAGGGTGGTGAGCGGCGGGTGGTGTGGGTGGAAGAAGGCAGTCGATAGCAGAGGTAAGAACTTCTTCTTGAGTGATAAGTTCTACAATCTCTTGCTTCCCCAGAGGCCAAATATGGTGTAACGTGGTGATCAAGCTCCTTTCTCAAGAACTGATGACTGTATTTATTAGTTTTTTTTTTTTTTTTTTTTTTTGCCAAAGAAAAGTCAGTGAGCAGGAGTTCCATACACTTGATAGATACCTGTTCCTTGTCATCGCCTTATACGTTATAAAAATCCATGGGTTCTTTCTCTCTCTAACAATGCTGACCTTTTCATGTGAATAACGCCATTGGAGAGACACTAACTTCGCTCTTTTCTAGTCTATCTATCCAATGTTCTCTCCTTCAATGGAGACGCAACTGCTTACACTGGCATCAAGAAACTTATCAATCATGAAAAGCTACCCATGCTATATCATTAATAATAATCACCTGAAAATTTCTGAGCAGATATTCTGCGACCCCATTGTACAATTTTGGGTGGAATGTCAACCTTTGTGTGCTTTTGCTACCAAGACATTTGCTAACGAACAATTAAATAAGACTTTGAGGTATATGATGAATGAATGACTACTTAAAATTCTTCTACCATGTTTTAAAGGTGGGAGGTGAGGGAGATGGAACACTTAGGAGTCCATATAAATCCAAGCCTTCAGGCATAGTCAAGTCACATATTTTACATATTTATATTTATGTTCACATATTTATCACAAAAGAACTCTCATCATTTTTTGTGGAGTTTTCTTTGACTTTAGGTGACCCAAAGGGGACTTCTTTGAGTTTTTTTTTAACCCTGTGGATCTAAGTTATTTTATTGGTCGTTATCTCCGAGTTGAGAAGTAGTTGACCCCCAAACCAGTGCCAAAATGGCAGAGTGTAGTGGCCCCTCCAGACTCCTAAGGCCTTCCTTTTCTATTATGGGCTTCATGTGGGCCAACCTGCTACGTTCACTCAGCGACCTGCGGCAGGCGCCCCTTGGCAAAGTGATCGCTCCCGCCCGTCCCCCCATTTGGGCTTAACTCGGAACCAACAAACTTCCCCTTCTGCCGCCGCCGGCGAGCTCGCAGAATGCTGCGGGCCGCGGGAAACCTCTGCGGGCATGTTGTTCTTGACAACTAGAGTGGTGGGTCAGCATCCTCTCTTGCCTCTTCTCCGCCCCATCTTCACATTGTTTCCTCTGCCATCCTCGTGCTCGCTGCTTCCCCACGAGCCCATCTCCATCCGCCACCCTCTTCTGGCAGCGCTCTCCTCCTGCCGCTCGCCGGAGGAGGTGCGGTGCCTCCACGCGCGGCTCGTCACCTCCGGCCTGGCCTGCCACCCTTTCGTCGCCAGCAAGCTCGTCCACCTCCTCGTCACTCTCCCCTCTGTCGATTCCCCTTCTTCCAATCTAGATTACGCTGACATCGTCTTGTGGGCTACTCCCTCACCTACTCTCTTCACCTACAACACCCTCATTAGGGCCCATTCCAACTCCCCCCACAGGACCGTCAACTCCTCGCTCCTCCTCTTCCGCTACCTTCTGCGGGACCCTTCTCGCCCCGTCCCCAACCAGTATACCTTCGCCTTTGTCCTGAATTCCTGCTGCCGGCGGCTGGAGAAAGACGCCGACGAAGGATTGGCGGTGGTGATGGAGGCGGAGCAGGTGAGGGGCCAGGCTGCGCGGTGGGGATTGGGCGCGAATTTGTTCGTCTGTAATGTGGTGATCAGATTGTACGGAAGCTGGGGGATGATGGAGGAGGCGGAGAGGGTCTTCAAGGAGTGCTCTGCTCGGGACTTGTTCTCCTGGAATTCACTTATGGGAGGGTATGTGGGTGTAGGTGAGATGCAGCGGGCAAGGATATTGTTCGGGGAAATGCGTAAGAGAGACGTGGTTTCCTGGAGCACTGTCATTGCAGGATACGTGCAGGTAAGGCGTTTACATTCTCACAGACTACGCTACATGTTGGACACTTGACTGCATTCATCCTGCCTTGCTTACGTGCTGTATGACTCGAGCAATGGCACCCACTTGCAGAAACGGTCTCTGGTCTGGGCAGGTAGAGACCATCCTTGACCTTGTGGGTCCATGGGATTGGAGTTGTGTTGACCTGCAATCTTGTTAAACATTAGTTTTTTATTTATTTTTCTACGTTCAGGATGAATTAATTTCTTGCTTTTTCAAGGATTTTATCCTCTCTGTGGGTAAAACTCTTTAGAATTGGTTACAGATGCTAGCCATTCTTTGATAAAAAGATATTTCCCTGGATTTCATAGATTTACTTGGACTCTTGTGGAACATCATGTATACATCCCACTGATCCAATCGGGCACGGTTAATTGCTTACAAATGGGTTGACTGTCATATTTGAACTCGGTTTATTGCTTGTGACTGGCTTGACTGTTCTATCTGGTCTCGGTTTTTTTGTTTGCAACTGGGCTGGCTGATCTCTTTGGGGTTGAATTTTACTACAATGGAAGCCCCATACTGCCAGTCCAAGCTTCACTCTTACCATTTTGCTGCTCACTCCGAGCCTTTACCAGCGTGTTCTCTCAGATATCATTTGAAAAACTTTTCTCTTACTCAGAGCTAATCAGAAATGTTGTTCTTTACCATGTTACAACTCTTGGTCCATTGAATGGAAAACACTTCCGGATGTCTGATGTCAGATACCCCACCGTAGACATGGAGATGACTCAAAGAAGTATTTTTTATGGTTAGAAGATTGTACAGATGGTTCCAGGATCACGTATGAGCTAACTGAGAATTTTTTTTAATATAGTATTCACCAAAATGCGTTATTACAGATTAAAATCCTTATTAACACAATCCATATCTGGCTTGTTCTGGTCAAAACACGAGCAGCATGTATCTTGATTTCGAGTGGACTTTTCTCGACTAGATTTGGGTCGGTAAGTATCTGGACTGATTGATGGGGATCCTTTCAAATACAGAGTCAATCTCGTTGGTCGAACAGGGCTCAGTTTTGAAACTTGATCAAGGCAGGGTCATCAATATCTCTGGAGGATCATATGATGATATTTTATGAATAATCAGTCCGGCAGATTTTGAGACTTCTTTTTGACAACTGACTGCCACTGGGCCCTTCTGTTATAAACCGTACCCAGAACATAAAGAGCAAGGAGAGGAGGATAAAGGTGAAATGAGAGAAGGGAGTAAGGGAGAGAAAGTGAAATAGATTTCCACTTGATCAAAGACTGCTTGTAACCTTAGTTTGAATAGGCCTCGAATGGATCCCAAAGTCAGCTGCTATAAGTTATACTAACCAACTATTATGATTTTCCTTTAAAACTTTTGCCCAGTTTGGGAGACTTCCCGACCGTTTATTAGTTTATTTATGAACTTTGATCAGATATTGCTTCCAGATACTTGTTAGCCTACTTTTTCTGAAAAATGCTGTTCCTGGTAGTGAAGATGATTATTTTATTTTCCATTTGCCATGGAAGGTTATCGTTTTCCTTGTGAATCTTCACACTTGAGCATTTAGTTATTTTATATCTTAGGAGGGTTCATTCATGGAGGCAATGGAGCTATTTCATGATATGCAATTGTCAGGTGTGGCACCAAATGAGTTCACCTTGACAAGCATCCTCACAGCTTGCGCCAACTTAGTGGCTCTGGACCAGGGCAGATGGGTTCATTCTTACATCAACAGGGCCAAAATCAATTTGAACGAGAGGCTCCTTGCTGGTCTTATTGATATGTATGCAAAGTGTGGAGAGATAAACTGGGCATTGAAAGTCTTCTATGAAGAAGGAATTTCAAAAAGGACTGTTTGGCCATGGAATGCCATGCTCGGTGGCTTTGCCATTCATGGAATGGCCGGAGATGCAGTTGACCTCTTTGAAAGAATGAGGTCCGAAAGAATTGCCCCAAATAAGGTCACATTCATATCTTTGCTCAGTGCTTGCAGCCATGGCAGCTTCCTGGACGAAGGCAGGACTTACTTCGAGTTGATGAAGGGAGTTTATGGTATTGACCCAGAAATTGAGCATTATGGGTGCATGGTGGACCTCTTTGGCCGGGCCGGGCTTTTGAATGAAGCTGAGGAGTTCATATCACTTATGCCCATATCTCCGGACTTCATCATCTGGAGTGCGTTGCTAAACGCTTGTCGGATTCACCGGAACATTGACAGGGCAGAGAGAGTCGGAAGAATTATCAAGGAATTGGACCCCAAACAGGTCGGATGCCAAGTGCTGCTTGCAAATATTTACTCGAGATCTGGAAGATGGACTGGAGCAAGGGACATAAGGAATGAGGTAGAAATCTCTGGCTCGAAGAAGACACCTGGCTGGAGCTCTATTGAGCTGAGTGGGATGTTCCATCAGTTTCTAGTTGGAGACCAGTCCCATCCACAGGCAAAGCAGATCTACTCATTTTTGGATGAGCTCAGCATCAAGCTGAAGAAGGCAGGTTATGAACCAGAACTTGGGGAGGTCTTGGTCGACATCGATGAGGAAGATAAGGAGACTGCTCTTTCCATACATAGTGAGAAGTTAGCCATTGCATTTGGATTGATGAACACGGAGGTTGGGACAGTGATTCGGATTGTGAAGAACTTGCGGGTATGTATTGATTGTCATCAGGCTACTAAGTTCATCTCCAAGTTGTATGATCGAGAGATCATTGTAAGGGACAGGGTTAGGTTCCACTATTTCAAAGATGGGTTTTGTTCTTGTAAAGATTATTGGTGATTGGAGTGCATACTCTGATAGACATTGAACCATGCATCGGCATTCATTTATGAGGAGCCTGGCACACACTGTGGGTGGGTTACCCCTCTGATTCATCTTTCTGAAAGAAATGCTCAAGGGCCCCAAGAAGAGCCAAGAAAGGTAATGATATTTTCATTGAGCTTGTAGTGTGGTACCGGGTTCCAGTAAATTGCCTAAGATTTTCTTTTTATAATAACCGTACGTAGTTATCATCTGGTTGTAGACTCACTGTAATATTTTATTCATATGGAAATTATCTGTGACTAAAATAGCCAAACTGTGAATACATTTTTTTTTTTGGAACCACGCTGAGAACTCTCTCTCTCTCTCTCTCTCTCTCGCCGTTGGCTGCATGGTAGAGATTAATTGCAAAAGAACTTTGTCAGTGGGAAAGGCAGGAACAAACTTAGTAAATTATTAAAGAGAATTTCTGGATCGCCCCAGCCCCATTTTGCTGAAGCCTTGACTGATGGTGGTCTCTTCTTGAAGGTTGCGATCTCAAAACGATTTGCAGGGAGCCGCCATCTTCTTCGTCCAAAGGATTTATTGATCCTTAATGATTCTCAAATAGATGTATACAGAAAAAGCAGGAACCACCATATGATATCTACGGAAACTGAAAGAGGAGGTTTCCTCATTGGTGCTTTAGGCGATTAACATTTCTTCATCAGATTGCACCAGGAAAATCATTATTTGAATCTCCTTCTGTAAAGACAGATTTATTTATAGGCCTATTATTTGATGCTTTCAAATTGTAGATGTATTTTGTCGGGTAAGACCAGAATACACTGCATCTCATTTCTGGGTTTGAAAGCATATGTAGTGTATAAACCTCTTTCTTGATTAATTGATGTAGATATTAAAGGGTATTGAAGCTTGCTGGGGTACTTCTCAGATAACCGTTGGATCTTGGGTTCACGTGTGTATTGCCATCAATCTTTTAAAAGTGAACCTTACCTTCAAGAATGTAGATTTCATGCAATGTTGGTGACTATTTGGAACAAAGTTAATTTAGCAATATTGTTAGATACTTGTAAATACTGCATCAAAGTAGGACAATTGTAGGATGAATGCAGTTGTATGTATGCAATACCCGTGGATATCTCCAGCATACATACATATTCAAAATTTGATGCGATTGATATCCAAAAATGGACTTTGCCATATTTGAAAATTATTTTTTCTCGAAAAATTGATCTCTTTAATCAGAAGCATATCCAGTGACGCTGGTTGTCGTTTTAATCCTCTAGGAAGGTTCACTTTGGAGATCATACTGAGTTTATTTATAATCACCAGAGAAGAACTTCTCCATCAATTTACTTTTAACATGGCTAACCTGAAATGTCTTACATATCCACTAAAGCACCTTACTTTGCTGGGATGATTTATAATTGATATTTTAAGCTGTTGAAAAGGCAGCTATCTTACATCCAATAAGGATATAGTGGATAGATATATTACCCTGTGGCACGGTCTGATTTGTAATCTGATTCTCTAAGGCAGTAAACTTAATACCCCAAGACAAGATAGAGGCTATTTCATTTTAAAGAGGTATGATTTTCCATGAATAAGATCTTAATAGGTAATGTTTTGAAAAATGCTTTGCCTCACCATCTCTCTATAGAATGGTGTTTTGCTGCTTCCAAGGGATGGATGTGTGGCGTATGGTTTAACTCGAGATCGATCAGTCAAGTATCCAAAATTCCAGTTTGGATTAGGAGCTACTGGAGATTGATATATTGCCTAAATATGCTAATGTGGGACAAGAAGATGTTAGAAGAGTTTGGTCCAGCCCAAGACTCTCTCCACTCACCAAGTCTACCATTGTGTCTTCTATTTTATCTCTTTTAGCTAATCATCATAAGGTACTTCCCCTGGATCCCAGCTAAACCTTTTTATTACATCAAATCTAGTTAAGTAGCCCATTCATGTAACTCAGTGATCGGTAAACTAAATGAGCTCACAATTATTTCTAAATTGAAAAGAGGTTTTCGGAGCTTACAAGGCTACCTCTCTAAAAATGGCATGACACCTTTAACATTCCTATAGCTCAAGTCCAAATATAGATCCATGTGTCAATTATTCTATAGTTTATGATAAGTTTTGAAACACTATGCATGGAAACAATATTAATTTAAATCACTCACGTTCTTATAATGGAAACAACAACCTTAGTCGCCATCTCCATATCTGGTTTACCTGTAAGCTTTACTAGATACGCCTTATATACTGCCTTTGGGCAACCCTCTCAACACCTAAGAGACCCATTCAAGGAACACGGGGACTAGTTGAAGTTATATGGGGAGGTTCATTACTTCAATTTCAATTGGGATAATGCAAAATCGTTCCATTTTTTAGTTAGAACTTTAGGAGGTTCTTGAAAAAAGATAGTGAAAAAAATTATTCTCAAAGTAGAGACTAACATGAATGCATAAACAATGCTTCCATAGATTCGATCGTGGTTTACAATTATAGCTTCCAAACCTATTTATTTAGGATCATTTATCAAGTATGGTAAGGTTTGTCCTTAGATAGACCCTTGAATATTAATTGACAATCTTTGTTTCATTTCTCCCTTAAATATGCAATACGAAATATGTTTGGCTGATTAAGATGAGTAAATGATATTATGTTAAACTGAATAATTAAGTGATCAACACCTTAATACAAAGAATAATTCCATGAGGAATTAGAATACAGGTGTTGACCCTTGATTAACTAGTAACTAGTACTTTATCTTCAAGTCAACATGCTTCATAATAAACATTTTTTTCTTTTTCACAAAATGTATTAATGAATGTTTTTGGCTCATTAAAAGGAGTAAATTATAATACTTTAAGACTAAGAATTAAGCATGCTTTGTCTTCATACCACAAATTAATATTTATAATTCTATGGAGATGTCTACAATCTCAATCACAATTATTTTTTTGTCATCTAATATGTGATCTAAATTCCAGTTCTTAAATAGCAAAATATTGATCACAAGCTAATTTCTATCACTACCAAGTCTAATTATCATTTAAGTATCCTCATGGAATGATGTCACGACTCAATTGTATCACTACGTTTAGATTTTTGAACAAATATGTGAGGGGCATGCCTTCTTTCCTTGAGTTTTGAACGTAAGATCATTACATAACTGACATATGATGTAATAAAACTAGGGGTCCCCGTAGAGGCAAGACAAAATTGTGCAACAACTGTGTGCTTGAAATGATGATCAACTAAGCTTGTGGCTCATTATGGAAGTTCACAGCAATAAAATAAGTTTATGGGTCAAAAGAACAATGATGTGAAACTCCTTGCACAAATTTAACGTTATATTCACTTAAGTTTGTGTAATTTGTTATGTCTATTGAAGCATATACATTTGGAATAATTTTTGGGTAAATCCATATGACATGGTAAAGTTGTGTACAGCATTGCCAGCAAAGTTGACAAAATAACTCTAGAACAAATACGAAATTCTAGTGGCTATCTTAGAAGATGGAAGAAATCAAGATATGTAATCGTTAACGATTTAATTCTGATGCCTAAACAAACTAATTGCTGCATAATTAAATACAAACAAAGCAAAGAAAGATTAAGCCAGAGTTTACACAAGATATAGGGTAGATTCAATTACTCCCTTTTCTTATTCCCTAATTGAACAAGTACAAAAACCTTAAGCAACAACATGGTAAGCCTCAACATCTTTTGAGGACCAAACATAGCAAAAAGTATTATACCGCTCAAATTCATCAACTACAAACACAATTGTGAAATAGGATGAATAGGAAGTAAGATGTGAACCATCACAGGTTGGAGAGTAGAGGAGACGTTTCTGATCATCTCAAAGTGTGAACGATTTCATCCACAGAAGCAGCAAAACAGTCTTCAGAAAATAGTTGCCAAGTGGAATGGCACTGGTATGGTCCTATGTTTTCACAAAACCCATAAAAACTTCCTGATTTATCTGGAAACGCAATGACAAAAGGAAACATTCAAGTAATTGAGCACTCTAGTCCACCTTTAAAAAAGTCTGAGTGTAAATATCAGGAATAATCGCTATCATCATGTTTTCAAACTTACTTCTATGATAAGGTGAGCAAGAATATATTTATAGGCATCATGTCAATATGTCATACTGGAATTCAGTGAAAAAACGTCTTCCACGGACCAAAGAATTCAAAATTTTCGGCAGTTGCTTTGCTGCAAAGAACCAATCTACATCATCTTTTCTTGAAAAGACCAACCAAGCTGGGGGATACCATCAAATCTGCTTCCTGGTGTTCGTACCAGTTGGAAGAGGGCGATTATCATTGGTACCTGAAGTAGATTGTAAATATGCTTTACTGGATCACGCTTTTCACAAAAAAAAAGGGCTAAATTAGAAAAAGGATAGCAATTAGATGATACTAGCTGGAAATTGGTTAAACCCAGGAGCAAATACCTTAATTGATTCATCAATCTGATAATCCAACTGACACCACATAGAGTGGAATAGGCCACATAGCGACACATCCAAATTTCCACACTGGGGGTATCTTGAAGAGTTTTGGGAACTTTCATAAGACATAGAGCTCACTCTAGAAGGAAACTTCAAAGACATCTTTGAGGATCCTGGTCAACCCTCCACAGCTTTGCTTGGTCCAGATTGTCTCTTCTTGTACTTCCAGAACTCATCTTTCTTACCTTTCCTCTTTTTCAACAAACCCATACTGCTATCAATTATTCCTAGCAGGGCACTCTTGTCCTTGCGATTCTTTACTCTGGTCTTCACGTCCAGAATTGCCCGCAACTTCCTATAAGATTCAGCTTCAGGCACCTGCCCACTTCTCACCATCTGCTTATGATAGAAGAATGCCTTTGAGAAATCCCGCACTCGAACATAGGCGTAGATTATGGTCATATAGGTGACTGAGTCGGGCTTCAGATTAAGCGCTGACATCTCCTTCAGCAACTGTGGCAGTTTGTAGTGCTGACCACCTCTCCCATATGCATTCATCAACATGTTATAGGTCATGACAGTGGGTTGTATACCAATCCTTCCGAATTCAGAAATAACGTCTCTTGCTTGAACATACAGACCATTCTTTGCTAACCCATCAAGAACAATATTATATGTGACCCTTGTACCTTCGACCTTGTCTCTCATCATCAATCTCCAAACCGCCATCAATTTTTCTGCATCCCCAGCCCGCCTAAATGCATCAAGTAGGGCAGTATAAGTCTCTATTGAGGGTGTCACTCCTTCGATCTTCATACTCTCAAAAGCCGCAAAAGCTTTCTCATGCCAGCCACCTACCGAAAATGCATGGATTAAGGCAGTGTAAGAATGGGAAGTAGGCTTTATTCCACTCTTCTTCATTCTTAAGAATGCATTGGCGGCCATGTCGCTCAGCTTTCTCTGTCGCCCATAGGCGCTAATAAGACAAGTGAAGGACCTTACATTCGGCTTCAGACCCAAGGTCTGCATCTCCTTCAGGAGATCTTCAATTATGTCAGGTTGCATTCTTCGGCTGTATGCATCCATTAGAATGTTATAAGTAGCTGTTGTCGGGTGCAGTCCCTTCTCCCTCATCTCCTGGAAGAGACCTTCCGCCTCTTCCACATGATTAGTCTTAACATATGCATCCATCAAGGTGTTATAGACCATAATATTCGATGGAATTCCCTTCTTCTCCATCTCAGCCTGGATGACGAGGGCTTCTTTATTCAGACCAACATCACAGAAACATTTTATGAGGGCACCGAATGCTTCAATCCCCAAGTTGACCCCTTTCCTGTCCATTAGTTGAAAGAATTCCCAAACCTGTTTTGAACTACGACCACTCTTTCTCATCACGGTGATCATAATGGAACAAGTGACATTATCTGGCTTGACATTGTTTGTTTCCATTGCCTCATACACCGTCCAAGCGTCATCATACCTGAGAAACATAAATAATTTTGCCACATGTGATAAATGGAAATTTTGTATGAAACTAAACATTTGACATGTCAAAACAAAACAGAAATGAAAACTTGGGACAGCTTTTTGGGAGATAAAAAGTTTACAGTCACCATCATCAAAAACTCTTGTATGATAAACTTCTCTCTGATGATTTGGTGGTGACAACGAAAAAAAGCATCGATCTATCCCCAAGTTTACAAAATCTTGAGAGAAAGTTATTATGAAAGGGTTTTTGATGATGATGACAGTAAAATTGATAATTGACCGATCCCGAAGTCTTTTTGTCACCACCAAATCCCAGCAGAGAAGGGCGAAGGACAAATCTCCATCCACCATTCTACTCTGGCACATATCACATTCATATTTAGTAAAACCAAATTCATTATTGCTACACTGACTCTGTCCAAAAGAATTTCATCCTCCTATTTCCTTTTGAAATCCTCACCAAAATGTAATGGCATCTCTAATCATGTTCTCGTTATTATTGTCAGTATACATCTTTGAAATCTCTATTCGACACTTTCATAAGCCTCAGCCCTTGTTTCTCATTTTTTTGTTTGATAGTCTTTTCATAACAACTGCTTCTTCTCATACATTTGTCAAAAAATTGATATTTATGTTAAACGGATGTGGTGTGTTTATATTCAATTTTTTATTGCATTATTTCTTTTTGACATGATGTTGTTTACCACTGCAGATCATGAATCGTTGGAGTTTCAGATTAAGGGTTTAGAGTTTTTAACGCATAATTATCTACTGGAAAGAATCAAACTCGGATCAAGCAAAAGAGTTTTTGAACCAACACAATCAAAGGAGACTTTGATCTTAGTTAGCCAGACCATGTAAGAAGTTTGGTCTGTCGATCACTGGACTGCAGTATCATAGAAAAAAAGAAATAGAAGAAGAAGAAGAAGAAGGGGTTGCTTACCTCCGAGAGCATGCCAATCCTGAAATTGCAGCGTTATATACATGAACGTCCCTAAATCTCTTTGACCTCGGGAGATTCTTGAAGAGGGTCATCAGTTCCCTCCCCTTCCCAGCCCTGCCAAGCACCGGAAAGAGGACTGAACAAGACCTTGGGGTCACCAGCGGTGCCTTCTGAAGACCCATCCACTCGAAAAAATAGAGGCACTCCGAGGTCAGGCCCTCCTTCCCCATCCTCGACAGTAGATGGATGCAGTCCCCTTCGTCCACCTTCCCTTTGAATGAACCCAACAATTCCCCTAACGTGGAATTCTCTGGAATGTTACGTGCGACGTTCAAAATTTTGTCCAAGACTCCCTCATCCTCTGAGGGAGAAATGGGGACCTCAGAATCGAGTTCTAGCCCTAACGTGATCTCCTCCAGGTCGTCCTCCTCAGAATTGACGTCAACAGCGTCTGCAATCCGCCAAGAGGTGCGGCGGTTCTTCTGAAGGGAGGTCCGTCCCTCCCGCTCAGGATCCGGCGTCGGGGCCTTGGACTCGAAGAAGCTCCGAATTGGGTCCGGGCCTTCTCCATCGTCGTCTTCTTCTTCTTCTTCTTCGTCTTCATAGAACTCCTCTTCGAGCTCCAACCCAGTTTCTCCCTCATCCGATGATATCATCCTATGCCTTTCTTCCTCCAAATCTCCTCCTTCTACTTCAATTTCTCCTCCTACTACTACTCGTCCTCCTCCTTCTCCAGCTTCTGCTACCAACTCAAGATGAGGGAGGAAAACTGGGGACTGAGGGGTACGAGAGACAGCGGAAACCGCAGCGGAGACAGAAGCCCCAGCATCCACTTTAGCTGAAGCATGGGAGGCGATGGACCTTTGAGCGCCAGTAGAAGAGAGAGCAGGAGAGACGAGCAGGGGAGACGGGTTTGAGCGGGAGCTGGTGGGAAGGAGGAAGAGCGGGGGAAGCGGCAAAGCCATGAGAGGGCGGAGAGAGAGAGCAGCAGGCTCTCCCCCAAGCTCCACTATTTCACTGGTTCGAGAACCAGAATCGTCCGACCCGAATCCAACGGATTTCAGTCCCAACTGCCGACGTGTACACAACCTGAGTTCGTAAATTCCTCATCGATCTGAACCGTCCGATTCTACACATCGGCACGCCGACCTAATGAGAGGCTTAAATGGGTCTGGCCTATTTCCATCCGGAAAGGCCCAACATGAGGATGGTCCAAGGTTCGGTCTGGAGGCCCGTTTCCCTGCGGCGTTGACCTGACCGAGGATTCCTTCTTCTCTCCAACTTAAGCATCGCTGTAAATACGTGATGCCTACGGCTACTCTCCCCTGTACGTTTCTCGAGCGCCTCTCTCTCTCCCTCTCTTCCTCTCTTCCTCTTTCTACGTGCTTGGCGCACGGCCTCTCTGCAGTGCGTCACACGCTGGTATAGAATGGTCAAACAAGGACTCTCTCTCTCTCTCTTTATCTCTCTTAAAAGCTTACGAAGACACGACGAAGGGAACGTGATGCGACGGCGCTTCTCCTTACATATAATATGGTACCTCGTTTAACCCGTCGACGGAGACAACTCTAGGTAGAGAGAGAGAGAGAGAGAGAGGTGGGTGTTTTAGAGAGAGAGAGAGAGAGCTCTTTTTCAGAAAAGAATTCTCTTCTGAAGTTAAACGTGCAGCCACGGAATCTTAATGGCTGACCACCTCAAACGTGATAGAGAAGGAAATCGGGGATGTTTTAGAGAGAGAGAGAGAGAGGTGGTAGCGTCCTCCGAATGCCTCGGAAACAAGTTGTTAGTTTACAGCGATCATTTTGAATAAAATAAAATATAGTCGAGCAGGCCCTGCGGCACAGTCGGTGCCCAAATCATGTAAGCATTTAAACAAGTAGTCCATCTGCACAAGCTACAAATATCCTGGGGGAGGAATTCAGCGGCGAAAAGAATTTGACAGGAAGCAAGCGAGGAAGAAGAAGAAGATGCCGCTGGAGGAGCCAATGTACGCCACCGCCGTGGAGATCTCCTCTCTCTCCATATTTACAGGCGGCGGAGTGAAGTGAAGGGAAGGGTATGGAAGAGAAGAGACGTCAGTGGGGCTTGATATGGACAAGGAAGGAAGAGTAGAATGAACAGCTAGCTAGCTGAGGTCAACGTCGACCCTCTCGGGCTTGGCCCGCTCGGTCTGGTCGGCGAGCTCGACGCCGAGCTGGCCCTTGTCTCCAGCCCCGAATGCGTACAGCCGCCCGCTTTCGGTCAACGCGAAGGTGTGCGCGTTCCAGTAGATCGAGTTGGTGAGGCTGATCTGCACGACCCGCTCCTTCTTCTCCTTGAGCGATGCCACCAGCTCCGGCCTCAGCACGTTCGCGTGCCTATTGTTCCCCTGTACCGAAGAAAGAGGAGTAAGAGAAGAAACCAGGATCAGTCACTGCCTGTAACTTTTTTTTTTCTGAGTTGTGGAGAGAGGGAGGGAGTGAGGAGGAGACCTGGGCGGCGGCGGGGTCGTCGGCGGCGGCGGAGTGGCCGAGGCTGGAGGATTCGCCGCAGCCAAAGGAGTAGACGTCGCCGGCGTCGGAGACGACGAAGGTGGTGTAGTCTCCGGTGGCGACGTGGGAGGCCTTGACGGGGAGGAGGGACTCGACGACCTTGGGGACGGACTCGCAGTCCTCGTTGCCATGGCCGAGGCACCCGTAGCGGCCCCAGCCCCAGGTGCAGACGCGGCCGTCGCGGCCCACGACGGCCGCGTGCCAGGCCCCCGCCGCCACCACCGTCGGCTGCAGGTTCAGCGCCTGGAACCGCTCGATCAGGCGCGGGTACCTCTCGTCGGTCCTCGACCCGTGCCCGAGCTTCCCTCCGAGCCCGCAGCCCACGGAATACACAGACCTGAAGATCGAAGATGTGAGCAAGAACAGACGAATATGGATGAGGCAGTTGATCCACGTTCGTTCGTAGAGAGATTTTTATAAATTCTCATGAAAACCCGAGAGAGGATTCGGCAGATAAATAAACCTCGGATCAAATCGACGCAAGCTTTCAGAGGTGGAGGGATTGAAAATCTGAATCTTGGAGCGAAGTTCTTCAAAATTCTCGGGAAAGACGGGTGGATGGTGGATTAGCTGCTTACATGCCGCTCGGTTGGCACGCCAGCAGCAGGAGATAGCAGTAACCAGCGGCAATCTGAACCACCGGGATATCCTCGAGAGCGCCGAGCAGGGGATGGGGCTCGAGGTCGTTCGGCTCCGTCTGATGGCCAAGCCTGGCGTCGCTGCCCCAGGAGAAAGTGTAGACTGTTCCCTCCCGCGAGAGCACAGCCGTGAAGAAGTTGGCGATGGCGGCTTGAACGACGAAGATGTGTTTCAGAGATTCCACTGGTCTCGGGGTGGTGACGAGGGTGGAGCCCTGAGCTCCGCTCTCGCCCTCCCCGAAGGAATCCTTGCCGAAGGCGTAAACGTGGCCCTGATCGCTGATCAGCATCGTTCTCCCCGCTCCAGCGGCCGCGTGTATGATCCGGATCCCTACCAGGGATCTGCAGAAAAACCAGGATGGATGATCTTCATGGCCGGCGAGGGGGAAAGGAAGGGAGAAATGGAAGCAATAAAATAGTTGAGCAGTAATTTTTCTAGGAGAACCTTATCAAGCGGGGCTTCCATTCCTCCTCCAAGGTGCCATGGCCGAGCTGCCCCGAGCTGTTGGACCCAAATGAGTAGACCTGCCCACCGGAGGTGACGGCGATGCTGTGGCCGGGGCCAGCGATGGCCAGCGACTTCTCCCTCCTGCAACAGGCTTCTCCAGCCAGCAGGAACCTCAGAACCAGCTTCCATGTGCCCCCGCACCTCCGCTTGATGATCTCCCCTTCCTCGGGGGAGACAGACTTGAAGATGGCTCTCTTCCGGCACATATCCAGCGCCGCGAGCTCGGCTATGGACAGATTACAGTCCGGGGGGTAATTCGCCGGCTTCCGGAAGAAGGAGCACGTCGCCTGCAACGAACACAGAGCTAAATCAATTGCATTATCAATCCTAAGATCGAGGAGAAGGAAAGGTGGGCACTGGCCTCGAGGCTGGCGAGGTCCTGAGGCTCCAGATTACAGCCGGTGAGGACATGAAGGACGATGGAGGGTTTCGCCGCCAACGGGAAGTCCCCCGGCGTTGACTCGCCGAAGCAATGCCGCTGCTGCCGCTGGAAGGTCAGCGACAGTGGCTTCTCGACGATGTTGTGATACTGCACGGAATGCCCGGTGCCACTGGTGGTGGCATCCATGGCCGCAGAGCTTCGCTGCCTTCCGAATCAGAGAGTTAAGACGGCGGTTTACTGTGGATGGAGGCCGCCTCGCTGGCTGGAGAAACACTTCACCGGGGGAATGGAATCCCACCTCGTTCTCTTCGCAGGAAGTAGGAACACATGACAGCAGCTCGCTGACTCTCAGAGGAGATTTCAGGAAGAACTTTTCCGGGGCGTATCAGTTTGGGAACAGTTCAGCTGGGCCTGCAAGAGATCGGGGCGTGACGTTTTGGTCAGAAGAACAGAGTGTCAAAATGCGGAAGAATTAGAGACGAGAAGATTTACAGATATTTAGGAGTCTTTTCTCAAAGACAGATGGGGAAGGGCATCTTATTAAGAGGAAAATAGATTCTGTGTGATTGCAATCCATCAGCGTTAACAGATGGTTTAGCAGAGATGTATCAACTGGTCCTTAAGATAATCCGATCGAGCATCACAGAAACAGGAAAGGCTTTCAAGAAGACGATATGAATACAAACAACTGCAAGAGGAAATCGGGATGGGGAGGAAGGAGGAGGGAGGGAGGCATCCAAGGGGATGAAGGCCAGAAAATCTCTCAGTCTGTAAATGTTCTAACCGGACACACCCAAAAGTAAACATTTGAGGGCAGGGAGGTGTTCTTTTCCCATTGTCATCTGAAAGCAAGTCACCCATCCCGGGCTCATAGAGACCGAGAAATGAAAACGGAAGAGGAAGAATAACAAGGGGAAGAAGAAGACACAGATTTTACTATCTGAACAGAAATTTTCGCAGAAAATATGTGAATATTCCTGGGGAAAAGGACAGAAAGATGGACACATTAGACCTCCATTAACAGATGATTTGGTCACACACTTTCCCCTTCAATACTACAGACGAGTAAGACAACAAATCGTGGTGCAGAGATCGGACTTTGAGCGCACCAGAAACTTCCTCCGCATCAGCGATGGTGTTCAGATGGCGAAATCCAGTCGAGAAAACCATGGGCAGAGGAGGAAATCACGATTATTCATCCCGGAAGAGCCAGAACTCGCGATGTGGGAGGCCATCCGGAGAGCAACACAGATCCCGACGGCTCGTCAGATCGGCAAAGCGGATGGCGAAAAGAATCGCGTTCTCCGTGGGAAGAAGAACAGAAGCCAATCCCACTCCAAACCCGACCGATTGCGTCCGATAATTACCGCCGTATTGCGATCTAAGCGGGCAATCTCCGATTCCCTTGTTCCTTGGTTCTCCTGCAAACACTGATCTCCGCTCCCCCTCCCCCTTTCTTATTCCCCCCGTCTGGTTCTCCCCCTTCTCCACGTCTCTCTCCTAAGCGTGTTCCGTCTCTCCCTCCTCCCCTCTCCGTATTTAAAGGAGAATGAGGGCTGCAGATGACGAGGTGGCCGTAAAGAGGGGCACAGACGCAAAGGAACAAGATCCCCCCCACATATACACGTAGGTGGTCGCGCCACGTCAGATACTCTCTCTCTCTCTCTCTCTCTCTCTCCGCTGTTCTCTGTGTATCTCTGAACTTAACTTGACCAGGTAGTTGGGAGATGACCAGAGTTCGGGACGTGGCAGTAGGAAATGACGATAATACCCTTTACCGAAGTTAAAACTGTCAGCCGGGAGGAGCGCTCTCCGCTGTGCCACTGCACTTGATTGTTTGATGCGTCCCGACGAGGCCGGCTTTGGGAAAATAGCTAAAATAAATAAATAATATTTACGTAACCCAGAAAACCATTTTTTTTCTTTTGTTCCATAAAAAAATGGCTCTGTTGATCAGTTCTCTCACAAAGAAACCCTGACGAGTTACACAGATTGTGTCTTAGTAAAAGAATGATTTAGAGGAATTGACAATCCTAATATTTTACATAAATTCTCACAAAGTCGTATTTGTTGAGATATTTGTTCAATTTCCATTTTTTTTTAAATCATAATTATTATTTACATATTTTCAGATCATATCATGTTAAAATTATAATAATTATAATAAATTACGTACATAATTTATTTTTAAATAATTGGCAGATTTACATGGGGGAGTATGACCTCCATGCATTTCATATGCTATAATATCAAAACCAACTTCACTATAAAATTGAATTCACTATGTATGAAACATATGCTTACATATAGTCTATTAAATTTCTGAATCATGTGTTGGGGATTAGAGCATCCTCATTTTTCACTATATGTTGGGGAAGATAATGGCAAGAATAAATGACATAAGAGGTTTAAACAAACCTCCTTATGTCCATAGTCACATACAAATCAATCTTCTTTTAGGAGATCATCTCTTATAGTTAAAAATGGAATCTGTGTTCTCACTAAAGAGCATGTTAGAGCTTGATAGGACCTAATAAGATATCAATCTCTACAACTTCAACACTATATACTTATATATAGTGATGAAATAACTCTTTATTCTTCTCATAATAATGGAATGTAACCTTAATCTGATATATATATATCTATATATATAGTTTGGGAGAGTTTTTGTCATACTATGTTTAGAAGGCTTAAAGGCATAGAAAGAACTGAAAAATGAAATGAAAGTAAATAAATTAGTAAAATAATAACTTAAAATTTTAAGGCTAACCCTAAGTAACAGGAATAATATGTCTTAAGGCAAAGGAGACATTTAAGAATATATCTCTAAAATAGTTTACAATGTTCATTACCCCCTATCAAATTGGCAGGTAAATATCTTCTGTTCTGAATTTGCTTCTTAGCAGCTAAAATCATGTATTTGGTACAAACTAGCCTACTATCAAACTTCTCTTTTGTGACGTGTATGCAAAATCTATATGTGCTTAGTTTGATCATAATAGATAATATTATTTACAATGGTGATAGCTAGTATCTTGTATTCTTCAAGTCATCTAGGATTATTTTACACCACAATAGCTCTTATAGTTCATGAGATATAGCCCTAAATTCAATTTCAATACTTGATCTAGTGATTACATATTATTTCTTGTCCTTTTATGTCCCAAAATTACTTCTCAAGTGTTGGTTTTACTTTTTAATATTGGCAAGTAATAAAAAGGAAAAAGGAAGCTTAATCAGAAATATGTTATTGTTATGTTAACAATTGGATAAAGATCTAAATTATTGGAACCAGTCCATTTGCTATTTCATAATATTTTTCAAGCATAAATCATTACAAATAATCATCAAGGATATCTTAGAAAAAATCATTGAAAAAGACAAGTTGACTCAAGTTTTGTGATTGTTGAGCTAAGTGAGTTGACACAATTATCATAAAGTCATTGAGGAGAGAATAAAAAAGGTATCAATGAGCCAGCCCATGAGTTGACCTCATAATAAGTACATCAAACTTAAGAGAGAGAAAAATCAATATTCTATCTATTATCTAACATGTCATATATCTCGCATTGTACTAAGTAGTGTGAGTGCAATCTCTTGCACTCGTGTTTGCAAAGCAATTTAATAAAAAAAAAATCAATCAAACAATGTGATAAAAAAAATTGTGTAAAATGATTTAAATTCTAAGGTCAAATTATTTAAATTCAACTCAAGGGTCGGCCCAAGATATGTTTCCAATATCAATAATTTAAAGTCGAAGGTCAAATTATTAGGCCCTATAAATGGCACATCTCAAGAGCTTTCTAAACAAACATCTACACTACATCAAATCAACCAAATTTTCTTCTTATCATTTATTTTTTATAATACAAGAGAACAATGCTCAAGCTTCCTCAAACATCAAAATGATTATTGAATCAAACAAGTGGTTCATTCAATTGAAAGGATCATCAATGAGTAACTCATTTCCTATTCTCACATATGACTTCATATGTGATAATAGGCAAGATAAGCTTGTGTCTTTCATGTTGGATTATTAAATACATGATATTTTGATAATGACAAAAAAATAAAAGATCAATCAAAATGATCTAATTATCATAATACATGATATTTTGATAACAATATGCATGATATGAGGCTAAACAGGAAATTTTTTAAACATAATCTAAAATAATACCATCAAATATTCACATGAGAGTTCATTCAATATATTTATAATGCACGATGTTGAACTTATGTAATTGATTGATTTCATCATATGAAATTATTAGTTTATATATCTTTGTGGAAATTAACAATATTTATAAAAACTACCATAATAAGAACTTGAGTGATTAAGTCATTCAAATCAACAAGATTTCATAAACTAAAATATGATTTTGAAAGCTTATTCAATCACCTATGAATCCTTACTTTTACATTGTTAGTTTTGAAAGGTTTTGATGTCAAATTAATAGTGTATTAAAACTGATCAGTTTTGTCAAAAAAGAATTTTGAACATGATTGAATATATATTGAAAATCATGTTAATTATCTGAATCACTAAAATTTTGATTGAAAATAATGAAGTCATTGATCAGGATGACTTCTTAGACATTGTAATTTTGTCGTGGTGATTCCAATTGGTTTTGATTATTTTAACAAAGTTTTAATGATAAATGTTTTTTATGGATTGTGAGCTCACGATATCAGATCCTTAGTAGACTAATATGAGCCTACATGATTTATATATAAATGTGAAGTATTAATGAGATCACAGAGTGGTTTCACCTGAGGATATCTTGACTACTTAAAAGACAATATTAATCTCTCAATTGTTTGAATTAATTTTATTTTAGAGAACATAGCCATTGAAAAATGAAATAAATCTAAAAATAATTTCATAAGAGATTTACCTATAAATATAACTGCTTTCCAAAACTATATGAACATAGATTGATCATCTTCATCTTCTCATGACCTCTAGCAGTATATTAAGTGTTACACATAGAAAATCTAAGCAAGAAATGGTGAGGATCATGTTTGTAAGTTAAGTTGTTTCAAAACATTAAATCAAGAAGTATTACCCAAGCATTAAAGGATCTACCTTGACCTATTTGAAGCTTAAAGAGTTTCTCATCAATGGCTAGAAATTGGACAAGAAGGGAACAACTAAATTAAGCTATCAAGCCTCATCTTCT